TTTTCGCTAGCTGCTCATAGCTATCACTAACTTGCTGAGCTCTGCAGAGAGAAGAAATTGCTATCGCTATTAAAAAAAATGTGTTGAAAATTGTAGAACCTCAGATTTTCCAAAAAGAGGTTTTTTTTCCAAAAAGAGTTTTTTTTCTAAAAAAAGAATTCAAATCAGCGAATGATTATCGCTTCTAAAACTCTCTAAACCAAAAAGGATAACGAAGCGCTAACTAACTAGAGTTGTACAGAAACGGTTCAACCAAAAATTACCTGTTTTATTTTCCTCCAAATATTAGTTAAATTACAGGTTTTGAGGAGGACTAACGTGTGGAATTCTATATTCCTAAACCTTTAAAAGACATCAATATCAATGGAATACCAGCAGCAGCATCCGATTCAGAATGCATTTGCACTAACTGTTCACAACACACTGCTTGCATTCAACTGATGAAAATATGTTCGCCATAGGTATATTATCTTTAGATTTTAATTGCACAAAGGTAGGTAGATAAACATGTCATTCATGGGTAAACCTTTCAAACCAAAAAAGATTTAAAAGAGATGAATCAAAAAAAATATTTCAAAAAAGTTGGCGCAACATTTTTATTTGTATCTTGATTTGAAATTTCCCATTCTACAAAGTAGCAAGTAACAAAACTTTCCAAATTCGAATTATCTCGGATTGGCATTCTCGATGTTTTTTTAATCGTCTATATGATTTTGAAAATTCTAGGTCTCTTGCATTCATTCATTTATAACAACAAAGGATATGCGTAAATCAAATTTCCTTCTCCACTGAATAATCCGCAGAACTTTTTATTGGTCTTGCGGATCTTTTGATTTTTAATCAGACTTTTCGCTGCTAACCCAAAATTGGCGTAATATTAATATGAGATCTGGATAGGACCCCCCCCCCCGTAAACTTCATAGATAGGTTACTGCCGCAGCTGGGTCAAATTCATATTTAAATTTTTTGTCAGTAATTATAATAGTAATGGGGTAAATTATTTAATTTTACAAATGTAACAATCATTAATAGGGTCAATCTGTGAGTCTTATTATTATTATATACATCAAAAAGGTTGGTTAGTGTCAAATCTAGTAGTCAACAATTTATTAGGATCCAAAAATTTTGCTTCATTCAAAAAACCCTTTATATATATAGTAAATCTTTTATATTAAAATATTATAAATTATAAAAATCAGTGAATTTATTATCAGTTACAGTAGACAATTTCAAAATTTTTAATGGTAGTGTATATTATGGGTCAAATTATGTTCTTTTTCTAATGTTATTGCAAACGTTAGGGTCAAGTTATATATTAAACTTAAATTTGGTCTGGGTCAAATCATATAACAAACAGGAATTTTTGTTACTGACCTATCTATGAAGTTTGCGGGGACGATAATGATGTTTTGAAAAAGGGATCTGTATTTCTCAAAATACTTCTATGCCAACACAAGTAAATATACAATTGCAAGTCGCAGAGTTCCATAAAATCATTTATGAAAATAAAATAATAGTATCAAACTTAAGTGTCATTCTTAATAGAACTGTCCTTCCCACATCTATGAATGTATTACACGCGCGTACCCGAGATTTCTAAAAGAAAAACGTATATACAAGAAATAATTACAAATAGACAACTTGAAGCATCCCTACAAGAAATATAGTAAATTTAAAAAGGGTTACCAACTAATAATTAAATGTTATCCAAATCATTAATTACCAGAAAGAGGTGCTCGCGATGGCTTTTCCTCTTTAATTATGCAACAATTTAAAATTTGAATATTATTAATTAATTAATCATTGCAAAGTTATATTTGAAAAATTATCTATATATCTGTAAGTTATTTTCTTGAAAATCATACTTTTAAATCTAATGAATTCAAGATGTTTAAATTATAAAGGTTGATGACCAACTGTCGCTAATAGCAAAAATACCTCTTGATCACTACTTAATCATAAGAACAAAAGACTTTGTAACAATTTACAAATAAATTATTTCAATAATTCTGGTAAAGGGTCCCGTTATTATCGGATGGCCTTGTGGTGTAGCCTTGTCGTAGCTTAATAGGCTCACACATGGGTCCTCATGCATAGTTCGATTTTCCTCGCAAGGTTGTTGTCACAGAAAATCCCAACGGCGAATATTAAATTAGTATTTTATCAATATATACATAAAAATTAATTAAATACTCTTCTCTTTTCTCTTCCTCCATAATCAGCAATGTCGTATACCATCTAGAGTTACTACTCGCGAATAAAAAATATTGATGAGTAAAATTACAGGCTTTCATTGAATTTATATATACTCTGCAAAACAATGTCAAAATAGCAGCCATCGAAAAAATTAAAATCATACGAAAAGTGTAGCAGAAGAATTGGAAAAAAGGAGGGTAGAGAACTTAAAGGTTTTTCATGAGTTTGTTTATTTACATGTCAAAGAATTCAATCAAGAATTAGGGTAAAATGAAGAATAAGGTAAACATGTAAATTCAAGAAAATCTAAATAATTTATATTGGCCCCTGCAATAAGAACTATCAAAACAGGAGAGTTATCTATTGGAAAAAACCAAACCTCGGAGGAAGCTTTACTGCTAGTTTTTTCATGAAACCAAAACGCTAAACTATTTAATAAGAAAGTGAGTGGATTTGTTAAACTTTACTCTTTGGCCCACTAAACGAAAAATTATCAAACCATTTACTTTCTCTCGTTTAGATTGGATACTGCTCGGCCAAAGAAATTTTTCTTAGTTAAGCATTATAATCGGTTTTTTGTTTTCTTCAATTTTTTCTTAGTTTGCTTCTTTGCTACTGATTCGAAAAAAAATGTAGGCATGGGATCAAATGAAAACTTGAATTGTAAATAATGGCAAATATGCATTTAGAACAAATAATAATTTTGTAAAGTCAATGATTATAGGTAGTAGTACAATTGTGATGTTAAGAATGTGGATTTAGTGATGTAATGTTCATATAATATGTGCTACATTAACTTACAAAAGAATTATTAAAGTTAATAATGCCTGCTAAAGATTATTTCTTAGAGATAATACATAATTCATCTATTTATTATTATCACCCTCGATTTAATATGCGTGTAAAGAATATATTTATTAGACAACGTTGACGACTCCGGGTCCACCTGTGAATTTGCTCGCTGAATGTGATTGTTTTTTTATCCCGGCAATTCCTAAAAATCATAATCAATATCAATTGATAATATATATATATATATATATATATATATCAAAATATCCATCATAATTGTTCATTCATTCATTCATTCATTCATACATATTCATAAAATATCATATCTTACCGTAGCATGTTCCAGCAAAAAATAAAAAAATTCCGGCAGCATTAAGTGACGTTACTGAGATAAGATTTGAAAGAAACATCACAGTTGCAAATCTAATAGATATAATTAGAAGAAATGAAAGAATTTAATTTATTGTGGTTATTAGAAATATCATGATTAACATATATTTATTACATTAAATATCCTCCGGTAAGAACCCAATTATTCTCAAATCTTCTAATAAATCCATCACTAGATTAAAAAAATCAAATAAATTAATAATAATAATAATAATAATAATAATAATAATAATAATAATAATAATAATAATAATAATAATAATAATAATA